AGGGAACTAGGTCAATATGTCACTCAACAACCTTGATCTCCTCCAACTAACGCGCAACTGTTGTAAGCAGGGTCGTGTTGACTGTCCTGCATTCCTGGCATGGCCCTCTGGTTAAAATGTGGTATTTTCAGTCATTTTGATGATAAAATTAGAACTGAATCCTAATAGCTGGTCCGATAGCAAACGTGAAGTTAATAAACGCATGGGTCTCTCGGATGCGCGCGGGAACGCCACCTTGATGCGTTACATCCGGGTACATGCGCATTCCCAACAACCTTCCACCAGCACAAGTGGTCCGCTCTGTGCCAGCACTTGCATACAGAATGTCAAACAAATGATTGCTATCGAATGCCTGTGCCACAGACTTAAGCCTACCACTATTGCAGTGTACATCGCCACATGAATACAAAGCACCAAAGATATCATTTTGAGAATACATGAAAACAGCGCAAACTGAAGGCACATTGTGTGTCCCGGATGCAGATTAATCTACATGCTCAATACATTCTCCTATAGACTGTGGCTTTGCAGCCTCTAAACATCAATTCAGCCATGCATAACACTTTTCTTTAACATTTTTTCCTTGTATATATCTAACCACCAACCTACCTGGACTCATCCAACTCTTATAACCAGTAGCAAACCCTATTTGTACGCAGAGTGTGGTTTCAGGTGCCTGTCATTACCCTCTTTTTGTTCCCCTTTGCTCTCGATCAGCGGCCGGTTGAATTCCTTGCCCACTCAGTGTATGAATGCCATTAAATTCTTCTATTAGCTGCATATGATTGCATCCCGGACACAATTTGTACCTTACAACGCTCTTCTTTTTAGGTGGCTTACATATATAGATGTCTTTCAACTATCCCCTGTTCTCGTGAACTAGACGAAAAAGCGACGTGCTGTATACGCTCCTTCCCTTGTCCATATCCCATTACTTATTGACCTTCCTGGGTGTATCAACGTCTTACTAGCCACCGTACGCGGCTCTTCTGTTCATCGCTCATCCAAAATGCACCACATTCGTGGTATCTGAACTATAGCTTGTCTAAACTTCATACGCATCACGCAGACGTGGCTCCCTCCAAGATAGCTTGATGCCCTTATTTCCTTGCGTTTCCTTCCTTCTCTCCCTACAATATAAGAAAATCTGGATATTTTTCGACCTTTACCTTTCCCCATACCGCAAACTATAAGACAGGCTCCCCTCCCATATCCGCACCATATCCCTTTATGTAGGCTTCCAAAGCAGCCTGGGATCTTGCATATCTCTTGAAATATCAGAGTGTCATTCCGCCCCACAGCTTGCACTAGTCGCTCTGTTTGAAGAGGCCCCGAGCCGTTCTACGTTGCGCTGTCACCCCATCTGTTCTATTACTTTGTCCTACCATGTAAACTTACCAACTTGAACCCACTAGCGTCACACCACAAAAGACTCAGTTTCCAATCGCTCAACCCGAAGAGCCTGCAAAGTTTTGGCCGTTCTTATTATTTTGTTGGTAGTTTTGATGAACACATCGGCACTATTCCGGCCGACCGGGTCAGCTAAACTACAGTGTTTTTGGTAAATTTATTGCATTTTCTACGACAGTGTGCAAACGCTTCACAGGGCGGCGTAATGATATTTTGATGGTGACGTTTTACCATCTGGGACACAAGAGCGAAAGCAGCAAGTTTCTGCTTGATGACCAACTTATGATCCTTGAGTTCGACGAGCTAAATGAGTTGAGGGCTGCGCTAAACATTATGAGCAGGGGTGCAACAAACTTTACAGATGCAACTGGGGTATACTGCACGCGTAAAGACAAGTGACTATCCTTGTACGTTTTACAGGCGCCACAAACATTGATGCCTTGCAAGACCTGAAACGTCTCGGTAGTTTTCCCTTTGAGCATCTGATTTTGTTGCGCAAGCACACGCTTACACCCCCTTTGTGACAGACGACCTGTTTGCCGACCGATTGAACCTTCTTTGTGTTGGGGATGTCAGTATCCCCAAAAACTGCTTATTTTCCGAATTATTGCCAGTTTATTTTCAAAAATTTTTGAATTTTTAAATTTCGCGCCTTTTCCGCCATGTTGCACCTCAATCCGTAAAGACCGCGCTCTTTTCCTATTGGCCAGCTATACTTTGTGTGCATTAACTGACTCTTCGCTCCCCAAGGTCGCTCGAAATATATATATACGACGTTGCTCCCACTGTAATTCGCCTTTGGTTGAGGCAGTAAAAGCCCTCTTCTGAAGG